CTGAGGGACAGCGCCCAGGCCCAGAGTTCAGGCCCCATGACCGGAAAAAAATAAAAAAAAATGGAAGTTGCTGTCTAAGTAGAACAACTAAGGAGATATATCCCAGGGCCCTCTCTAGAAAATTCCGCTTAGGATGGGGTTGAGTTTGGTCATCCTCAGTCTTCATGGGTCTCTGACTTGAAGCTCCCCTTCCTTATTACATTGCTTTAAAGCCCTTGGTTGGAAGCTCAACTTTGGCCTTGGGGCTCCTAAGCTCCTATTAGTCTTCATGTGTCCCTAGGGGCCAACCGTTATGGGGGAAAGCTCCCTCCGGTGTGTCTTTCCCAGCTCAGGCAGGTAGGATTGGGAGCCCTGAGACTGGGCAAAAGCAGGATGACTGTCGCTGTACACCTGGAGAGGAGGGATTTCTCCTGGGCCACCATCCCAGAACATCAGAACTCCACCTCCTGAGCCATGATGGAAAGACCCCCCTGGAGACTGGACATAATACATCTATCCATGTGTCTTCAGGGTCTAGCCAATCGAATACTCCTATCACACACCCTGAATCAACCTAGACGAGTCTGACCGTTAGCCAAGGACTCTGGGAGCAATCCTTGTAGATTTCTCACAGATCCACTCTCCGCAGTGGGCCCTCATGATAGTCAACTTAGATTTTCCCTACAGAGAATGTGGACAGAGTCTTATACCCCCACCCTCAGCTCCCAATCATTCCTTTTTTTTTTTTTTTGCTAGTCTTGGGGCTTGAACTAAGGGCCTGGGCACTGTCCCTGAGCCCAAGGCTAGCACTCTACCACTTGAGCCACAGTGCCACTTCCAGCCTTTTCTGTTTATGTGGTACTGAGGAATCAAACCCAGGGCTTCATGCATGCCAGGCAAGAAATCTCCCACTGAGCCACCTTCCCAGCCCTTTTTTTTGGTCAGTCATGGGGCTTGAAGTCTGGACCTTGGCATTTCCCTGAGCTCTTCAGCTCAAGGCTAGCGCTCTACCACTTGAGCCACAGCGCCACTTCTGGTTTTCTGGTGGTTCATTGGAGATAAAGAGTCTCATGGAGGTTCCTGCCTGGGCTGGCTTTGAACTGCAATCCCCAGATCTCAGCCTCCTGAGTAATTAGGATTACAGGTGTGAGCCACTGGTGCCCGGCCCCAGTTATTTCTTCTACTCTTCTACGCCATTCATTAGGAAGGACATGCATTGGATGATTGTAGAATTCAGACCAAGAAGAGGACAACCACCTCTACAGGGGTGCCCCATTCATGGTCACCTTCATCTCTCAGAGTCCTATGGGGCTTGGGTGGCCATAGAGTTCCAGCAGGAAGGAAGGAAGCTTACAACCCCTTGATAAAATGGACAATCAAATTTAAAATTCTCAAGGAGCAGGGAAATTCTAAGCAGCCGAAGCCAAGGGTGTTGAACACCCCATGGAAACCATCTTCCATATGGTGCCAGGTCACCGGTACCCCCATGTCTTCCAGCCTCTTCTTGTACAAGAGTGAATGGTCCCGGAGCAGGTCATACTCGCAGCTCACAATGCAAGCCTCCGGAAGCTGAGCCAGGATGTCATCGGGGGCGAGGATGGGCGTACAGGTTTCACTCCTAGCCAGAGCTGTCTCCAGGTAAGCTTTTTCATTCACGGGTCCAGGGACTACGGGCCGATAGCCTCGTTTCTTAAACCTCTCAGGGATGTTTTCGTGGCCCAACCACTTACTGTATTTCTTCCAGAATTCGGGAGACAAATGGGTCCCTTTCTTGATGGTGCTTCTCCACTCAGAGCTGATAGCCAGGTGACAAGAGCAGCAGTCAAACATCATGTCCCAGGTGAGGAACGGGATGTTGTGATTCTGCTGGAAGGAGGGACTCTGAAAATCTACTGCTTGCAGGGCGGCATAGATCAGGATCTGAGCCCGGATGCGGGGTAGGCCTGGATGGTTCCGGAAGAGTTTACAAAGCTCAGTTGCCACCCACCCACCCACACTGTCCCCACACAGCACCACTCGAGCGTGATCCACCCCATACATGTGCAGCGACTTCAGAAAGTGGATGGTGGCCACAGTGCAGTCATTTAGCATGACTGGAAACCTGTACTTGGGTGACATCCGGTATCTACAAAAGAATGGGAGAATGTAGTTTATACGAGAGTACGAGTATGGTTATTTCTACCATTTATGCCTGGCATCATTGATCTTGTTGCTATTCAATTTAATTTATTTTTCTTCTGTTGGTCATGGGGCTTGAACTCAGGGCCTGGGTGTTGTCCTTGAGTTTCTTTTTTCTTTTTTGCTCTACCACTTTGAGCCACAGTTCCACTTCTAGTTTTCTGGTGGTTCATTAGAGATGAGTCCCACAGACTTTCTTGCCCAAGCTGGCTTTGAACTATGATCCTCAGATCTCAGCCTCCCAAGTCACTAGGACTAGAGGTGTGAGCCACCGGCACCTGGCTAATTTTATTCTTATTGCTGTTCATGTGTGCCAGTACTGGAGTTTGAACTCAGGGCCTCAACACTGTTCCTTCGTTTTATTCACTCAAGTGACTCACAGCTCCACTTAATGATTTTTGCTGGTTAATTGGAGACAAGTCTCTCTCATGGACTTTTCCTGCCTGGACCGGCTTCAAATTGCGATCCTCAAATCTCAGTCTCCTAAATTACTAGGATTACAGGCATGAGTCCCTGGCTTCTGGCTAATGACTAGCATTTTTTTTTGGCCCAAATTTCTTTTGTTAACTTCCTGAAATCTGAGCGTGTGGGGGTAAATATTAGATTGATGCCCCATTGCCTACCCCTGGGATTCTAGATTCGTTTAGCAGCTTCCAACCCTATGTCTTAACAGAAGGCCAGCCAAGATCATCAGAGCCCTGTCACTCGCTGTTGGCAACAGCTTAGCCATTGCTAACAGCAGCTCCATCTTTCTGAACCCACCTGGCGTTGCTGGCCTGAGTGTACCTGTCCCTGCTTCTTGTTTTGTGACTCTAGACTTGCCTGGGTTTTGATTCTAATTAATTTTGCCCTGCCCACAGGGGACTCTTTTTTTTTTTGTCGGTC